CTTACAGTATGTCACCGACTGTGGGAATTGAGTCCCTAAGAAACGGGGCATTTGTTCTGAAAGGGTGACACCTGGATACATTGAGAGGCTACCTGCTAGGTATGGTTGTCAGAGCTGACAATTTCCTGGAATGTGTATTTCCTCCAAACAGCAATCTGAAGATGCCCGCTACATCTGCGGAAGGTTTTAACTCTGTCATTGCAAATTCCAGCTTCTATAAATATTATTAATTTATGTTTACCAGGGAAAACTGGTAATAAACCAGAAAACTTTTGGTTTGGGTTTTTTGGCTGTAGAGGTTCTCTAGCAAGAAAGCTGTATGCCTCAGGAGTTACTCAGAGTGGTCTACAAAGACTATGAAATGTTTTATTATTCTTCTGTCTTTATTATTCTGTTTGTTTGTTTTTTTTTTCTTTAATCATTGCTAAGCCAAGTCCACGCTTCAAAGAAAGAAGGAAGAGGAAAGCATTACAAAAACAGCCTGATTTGTGTGTCTCTAACATGTCATACGGCCAGGGTTCTTAACTTTTTATTCCAGTGCATGATTTTACAAGTTTTATTAATTAACAAATCAAAACAAAAATTCCCACTTCAGAAATAAACAGAACCAAAACAAAACCCACCGAGACACAGCCCTTGGTAAATGGAAGTGCCATTAGCAAATGGAAATACAAAGCGCGAGAGGCAAAGATGACACAATGGCAGCTACATCATATAATAATGAACTTTTCCATCCAAACACTCTCAGAACCAGGAGAGATCCGGGAGGGTCTCCACAACAAGAACACACGAGATGGCCATTGTACTAGTCAGGAGCACAGGTCTTTTTGCCTTAAGGAGCAATCCAACTCAGTTGCGTTAATCCTTCATTTGGAGCTGTGATGAATTGTTTAATTCAAACTAAGATATGAGCTTCTTTCAGGATTCTCTTTAAGCCTGTAACTTCTAACAAAAATGATAATTAATTTTAATTTTAATTAGTTTTTTAATGAGAGGCTTGGAAAGAATGCTTGAATGTTTGCATTTTTAATAGTGAATATGATTTTAGAGTACACATGATCACATTTTCTAGGAAGAAGGCAGAGAGAGATTTAAAATGGCAAAGTTTTATTGTCACCTTTTGCTAATTGAACATTTCCAATGATCTTTATAAGCTGTTTGGTCTCAAGTAGCAATTCACCCATTTGTGGAACAAAAACCTGGATGGGAAACTTGGATGCAAAATACCTTTCTGTTTCTTGCTTTAAAAATATTACTGAATTTAGTTAGAGGAGTGAGATACTTTGGTATAATTCTAGCTGGCTTCTAATACCTGGTAATAATTTCTGATCTGGTTCATACAGGAATTGCACCCTTATGCTTTGGTTTGGGATTGTGATACTTATCTGTATTTAAATATTTAAAATATAAGCCTTGGAACATAAGAGCTGGCAGCCCCTCTGTTTTTCCGTTGCAATGAATGAATCAAGTGAGAGATGGCTAATGTGTGTATGGAGAGTGGGGGCTGTTGTAGTCCCACACTGACTTTGTTTAGAAACAGGAAATAAATTGGACTTTTTTAATTCTTAATCAAGTTAACTCCAATGAACTTTCTGAACTTCGTTGAAAATCCACTTAATGCCAGCTTAGGTATGGTTTTGGGTTGCTGAGTGGTTTTTTTTAGTTAATTGGGTTGGAAGAGAGCCTGTAGTTGGGCTGGAGGGAGAGGAACTAAGAGCGCAGCTCCATCTCCCTTTTTAAAGAATTCTCAGCAAGGCTGGAGAGGTGTTGAGTGTTCAATCAAAAATTACTTGCCTGTACACTGTATTACTGGGGAATTCCTGCACAAACATTTCAATAGTAAGGTTCATCACAATCTGAATTTTTACACCTTTTCTGAAATCGCCCATAGACTGAGAACCTACAGTTTCGAGCAGGTAAAATATGTTCTGTCATCATACCATGATTAAAGCTTATGCAAGACTAGTCTGACGTTTAATTGTCTCTATGTTTGTATACAGCCCGTTAGGCGTGCACAGCAATTTATCTGTCAGTGGTAGACCCTAACTTAGAGATGCTAGAAACTGTATACATTGCAAATAACTGCGTATCAAAGCCGAGTGCAGTATAAAAGAACTATTTAAAGAGGGGCAGATATGAATGTAGCTTTGCATGAATTACTTTTTTATTATGACTTTGGTACTTGAGGGAAGGTTCAGGCTTCCCATAGTTAGAAATATAACAGGATAGTGCTTAGAGTCAGGGTTTGAATTACAAATGATTGTTTTGTCTGTCTGCTGCCAAAAATTGAACTTTCTTGATATATTTTCTAAAGCTCACATTAATACGCTTTTCAACTGTCGGTTTCGGCAGTTGTGCTATGTTAATGTGTAGGCATGTTCTAATTTTGCGTGTAGCTCGGGGAGAATATTTCATTGTTCAGACATTGTGCTTGCTCTACAGGGGTAGTCAGCCTTCATTTTGTGGTTATCTCCCTCCTCTCTTCTCATTCATGTTTTGGGGAGCAAAGCAATGACTTGGCAGTACTGGTGTCCCAGGGGGAGGTTGTACTGTTGCAGGGCACGCGTGTGTAGCGCAGACCTCTTCTTGAGCCTGATGTGGATGGAACGGGGGACTGGACAGGTTGCGTAGAGCTGTGTGCCAGTGCCTGGTGCTACAGAGGTTCTCCTGTGTGGGTGAGCTGCTTTGGGTTAGCACTTTCAAATAACCTTAGTCATTTTTGCACTGAGGGAGAAGTTTAAAAATCAAACACCACCCTCTCCCCAAGCCCCAAACTAGAGTTAGGGTCTCTTATGTTGCTTCTGGAAGGAAAAAGCCTGGAGCTCTTTAAAGAAATGGAATAGTATGTTAGCTGTAGAATGCCCTAGAGAGCTCCAAAAATGTTGATTTGTAAGAAAAAAAAGTTTCTTACGGGCTGTCTTGGTAATTCGGTGACGTTTAAGGGCTTCTGAAAGCGCAGGCCTTGGGTCTTTTTCAATTGCTATGAACTAAATGGTAATCAACAAGCCTTAATATTTGACATCAACGTGGAAATAGCTCCTCTGATCAGACCTCCACTGCACTGATGTTTTCAGTTCTAACAATACTGAAGATTTCCACTGATTCAGTGTTTAGCTTCTTTGGCTGATTATTATGAAGGATGACAAAAATGAGCAACACACGAGTTCATTTCCCAAGACTTTATGTTTGCACATTGGAAGAGGATGCCAAGTTGTGCCAAGTTCTGGAATGAGCTTGGTCTAGTAGCAGGTCACTCTGTAGTCTTTAAAATACTGAATTTCTCCTTTTTTTTTTTTTTTTTTAGCAGTAGCGTGAGGCAGATAGTGAGAAAGTAGTGATGGTTCTAAAGAGGATCATCAAGCGCTGTACTCGCTACTGAGGTTTTTTAATTTCTCGTGAGCTGTGATGGTGTATGCCTTTGCTGTTTGAATGAAAATGCTTCTCCCTGCGTAAGTTACAGGAGAAATGACCTTACTTTTGGAATGGCTTGGAAAATTGCTTTTTTTGGACTTGACAGCTAAACTGAGAGTATTTCTTTCTACAGACTGCAAGATTTATAAATAAGCTTTCCCCCTCCTCCTTTCCTACAGAGAAACAGTTTGAGAATAGTTTGTTTCTAGATATAACTGTTGTCCGTAGCACATTGAGGTCCCCCCTTAACACCTCTAAATGAGTCGCAATGGGAAGTCGTCTTTTTGGTGTAAACTAGTTTAACGGTCTTAACGAAGCAGAGTCACACAGATGCTAATATAGGGAATGTACGGAAAAAATTAGTGGCAAATCAACTAATATAATCTGGTTTTCTTTTGAACCTGTTTTTGCAGAATTTGGTATATGGATTTTTGCAGTTTAACACTAATTTTCAAACAGTCCAAGGGAAGTGTTTAATGTGTTCTCTGTAAACGTTTCAGCACTTCATCTGAATAGAAAAGCAAATAAAAGCTTGATTCTTCTGAAGTAGCCGTGCTCCGAGATGGCATAGACCAGATCTCCAGATAGCGCTGGGGAGCGTCTATAGGCTTTTTCTTCCCTGAACAACACTCAGGACAAACTTTCTGATTTCACTAGTGCTCTTGATTTTCATGGTGAAGTTTCCACCTGTCGTTTGTTGCTCAGAAAGGCTAACTAATTTTGAGTCACCAGTTTGTTTCCTTAGGTGCCTTTTTCAGAGCCGATGAGGTCCTGAGGCTCTCATGGAGTGACTGAGGCGTGCTGAATGACTGAGCTCTTGAAAACCAGTTCATGTTGTCCAGATCCTCTTTGTGCCCTCAAGAGAGACGATCATCTGAAAATCTGCCTGTTAAGATCTGGTTCCCTGCAGCTCCCCAGTGGGGTTAAGCGTATTGATTGGCCTGACTGAGCAGAGAACGACTGCCTTGTTTCCCTCTGTGTTTCATTTTGCTTTTGGGGTGTAACATGGCATAACACAATCTGTTGCAGATGCACATGAGAAAGATTACGATTTTATAGCCACTTTCATTACTAAATCTGTTATGGGAGATTAATTTAGAACTTAGACAATTGTGTTCCTGTTGATGGTGAAGCCTGTGTTTGGTTATATGTATATTTTTTACCCCTCTCTTAAAGAAAAACTAACAGGAATCTTGTCCAGTGGCAAGATTTATTTTTTTTCTCCAGCGTTTTGTAAAATAGATTTCTTGGTAAAGAACCCATAGGATTTTTACATGGTTGCTGATTTTAACCTCTAGTAGCATGGAATTTTTTGATGGGGGTCGGTAGGACTCATTGTGTGTTCTGATGCACACCGTACTGAGCACTTGGATAGAGAAAGTATTTCTGTAATTAAGCTGTGCTATACAAAATGTGATAATACAGTGGGGTGTTTTGCTTTTATTCTGAACTGTTTTATTAGCTCCATACTCATCCAACAGTACATTAATTCCATATGTATCCAACTTGGATAGTAACCTTGACAAAACATGTTCTTTCCTATTTGAAAAGGATGTACATTTCTTGACCAGTTTCCTTTTTTAACAGGCATGGTCCTTGTGCGTAGTGAGAATGGGCAGTTGCTGATGATCCCTCAACAGGCCTTGGCGCAGATGCAAGCACAGGCACATGCCCAGTCTCAGCCTCAAAATACTATGACTCCTCGTCCTGCTACACCTACCAGTGCTCCTCCAGTGCAGATATCAACAGTGCAGGTTAGTTCAGAAATTTTTAACGACAAAAAACGGGAGATGTTTTTTTTCCTGTGAGAAATACACCAGGAAGTAAGGTATGATGTTAGTGATTTGAAGAAACCATTCATCAAACTGGTGCTGTACAGGCTTTTCCACATGGCCTAGGCATTGCATTTCGTTCCTAATTCTGTTACAGTTTGGCTGTTACTCATCAAAAATATTTTTACCTGGCTGAATCACATTGTTTAAAACTGTTTGATATAAAGACCATTCAAGACCATATATGGTTAACCTGTACAACTCCTTTCCCTAAATAATTATTATTCTTTATAAGACTAAGGAAAAAGTGGCTATGGGTGTATGTATACTGAGATCATCACGGTTGCCTGAAGTCCAAGACTAAAAATCCTTCTCACATTTTTATAGTGCTCCAGACGTGTTCTTTTGTATCTGTAATAATAGCAACTGTCCAGAGATAAGACTAGATAAGGTAGATGATATTGAAATAGAGAAACTAATGTGTTTTTTTCCTCTTCTGCAGGCTCCAGGAACGCCTATTATTGCACGACAGGTGACACCAACTACTATTATCAAGCAAGTGTCTCAGGCTCAAACGACAGTGCAACCCACAACAACGCTACAGCGTCCTCCTGTTGTGCAAGTGAGTGTGTAGAAAAGTAATGTGTACGTGAGAGAGACATCAGTTGTTAAGATTAGCTGAAAACCTGTTTGAGACTGCCAGAAATACCGCAAATATAATTGCTAAAGGCATGGAAGAAATATCTTCTGGATCATCCTTTCTAAAACATTTGTAGATTTCAATTTAATTTATATTTGGAATGTGTATGTTTAGCTTTGAATATGTGTATGTTATTATTTTCTATTCATGTGCATATATATTTAAAGCTCTCCTGTTGTTAGCTTGCATAATCACAAAACTGACTAAAATAAAATACCTTTATGCATTTTACTGGAAGAAAGTGGCACCAGTTCCCCTTGGATTTGAAGCTCTAACGTTACTCCAGTGATTAATCTGTTGTTCTCTGAATTCTGCAGCAAAATTTACAATTACAGCAAAACCTGCACTGGTAGCCTTGTCTTCCACAAGACCTTTTCCTCTTACATGAGTCTCTGCTTTGGTCTGTGTACTTAGGGAGATTCTGCTAACTGAAAGATAGATAGAGATGTCTGAGTATAGTGATAATAGTGATGTATCTTCTAATAGATGAGAGGTTTTCTTGTAGATCATATTTTTCAGGAGGGGTGGTGGTGTGAGTTTAAAACACAGTGCAAAAGTATGACATTCTCCACATGACTTCCAGGCAGCAGTGATACAATATGATTGCTGTCGCCTAATCTGTTTCACTGTGCTTTCTTTATCTTTGTAGACAGGATTAGAGAGTTTTAATTTAAAACATGCAGGTTTTGCTACACAACCAGTTAACCTTTTTCCCCTCAGAGAGCATTTGCCTATGCCAGTGATCTTTACAGATCTAAGAGTTAATTTACCTAACTGAGTCTCCTTAATTTGCACTGCTGTTACATTGCACACAAAAAAAAAATCATTCCATCTGCATATTTTTTGCTGTAATGAGCATACCATGGACTTCATGTATCCTGATTTCAAAAAATGAGACAAATTAAATCCTTGTCTCCTTTTGTCTCCCAAAATACCAATGACAGTTTGCTTTGGCAGCACCAGAGCCTCTTTACTTGCACATCTTTATATAAAGAACAAGTTTACAAATGACTTGTGAAAATTCTGAGAGCTGGCTTTAGCTGAGTAAGAATTGCTGTCTTTCTGATTGGGTTGTCATTAGTGATTAGACTGTGGTGAAGTCCATGAATGAACTGTGTATGTGAAAAGTTCTTGTTTACCACCTTGATTCCTTAAAGGTGATATTCCTGCTTTGAATTCCCAACTTGTCTACAACACTACAAAAAGGTTTTGCCCCATTATTCATCAAAAACAGATAAGACCTGAGTGTTTGTGTCCATTGTGCTTTTTGAGACATTCTTCCCTTTGAAAGTTATGTTTAAGGGAACAGGCAAAAAAAGCTGTTGCATTCACAGAAATGTCGTACTAGTTTTGATTGTTTTGAAATCACAGTGTATGAGGGCATGTTTATGGTATTATTTTGCCATTTTATTCAGTAACCCAAAATCGTGCAGTTGGTACTCAGCCCTGAGGGTTTCAGTTCTGACTGCGTAGTGTTCTGTGCCATCTGGTGGCTCTTTCTTTCCACTGCAGCAGATGCCAGATCAGTAACTTCTTATTCGACTGTCCTGTGGCTCAGTTTATCTTTGATGGTTCAGGAAAACAGGTTTTGGTATGTTCCAAGTCAACTAATTTTATGCTTGTATCTTCTGCAGCCTCAGATTGTTCTGGGTGGTACTGCACAAACAACTACGTTGGGGACAGCAACAGCTGTACAAACTGGAACTCCTCAGAGAACAGTGCAAGGAACGACGGCAACCTCCACTGCGGCCACAGTAAGATACCGAGTGCATCTGGAATCCCTTTTGTTCATTCTCATACACACGTGTGCATGTACATACATACATGTATATATACATACACAGACGTAAACACAGATTCGAGAGGAGAGTAGTAAAGATGCAGGAGTTCTGTGAACTAATGGTCTTGAAAAGGTAAATTTTTAGTAGAACCGTATAATTTACAAAGTGTGAACACAGGTCACTTGAATTCTGACAGCTGTCAAAGTATTGATTTTGATTTCGGTAACAGTTTGTAAAGCACCGCTTTTTAAAAAAAAACATAGGAGCTCTATCTTACAGAGAAGTGAATTGTTCAGCACTGCAAAGTATAATCAGTATGAGATAGGATAAGAAGTTGGCACCGGCTCATTCAAGAGGCATGTTTCCAGGCCAGACAACAGGATCTGTGCACTGGGAAGGAGGAGCTTTGCTACTTGTTGTCGTGCTGAAACATATTTTCCCGTACACAATGTACCATTCTTAAAGTGCTTGCTGTTTCCTAACGTCATTAAAAAAAAAAAAAATTAAATTTTGATATTAAAAAAGTACAGTACGTATATACATTTGAAACAAAAGAATAATTTCAGTCTGACTATGTCTTAAGCAGTGAGGGATGAGAACCTATAAATAATATTCTGCAGTGGTGAACTAAAGAAGGGCTTTATTTCTCAGAGTATAGTGACGGATCATATATTAAAACGAGTTTATCTTCCCTTCTCTGACTGTTTCCCTTGTATTCCTCTTCCTCCTGTAACAGGAAACAATGGAAAATGTGAAGAAATGCAAAAACTTTCTGTCCACATTAATAAAACTGGCATCATCTGGAAAACAGTCTTCAGAGACTGCAGCTAACGTGAAAGAATTGGTACAGAACCTCCTGGTAAGAAAAGTTCTTTAAAAGTTGTAAGAAACAGTACCTGGGCAAATTTAGACTCAACACTGAGGGATTTTTTTTTTTTTTTTTTGAAGAGAGGGAGATTATAAAATCGGAGAGAAATTTAATTGAAACTTTGCTTCTTCTGAGTTAAAACATATACATAAATTTTCCTTTAAGCTTGTAAATGAGACATTACTGCTCATATTCATGGATGAGAACATGGGTTTAATTGAAGTGCAAGTAATATAAATGGTGACTTTAAATTCTGCATGCTTTTATTGGTAAAAAAGTGAATAAAAAGGTGGATTATGTACTTGAGGGAAGACCCTACAGCTAGTGCAGTAGCTGAGTGTAGAAAATCACAAGCTTTTACAAAAAAAGTAAGGAATATTTTCTGAAGCTGATGTAAAAGCTTGACATACTTAATATTTATAGGATGAGTACTAGTATTGCTTAGCCTAGTTGTTAGCAACCTTCAAGTTAAGGTAGAGCTGTGTGTTCCAGAGGTTATCCCGTGATAGCCAGAAGTTGTCACAAGACCAAAATTCAAAATGTATCTTCCCACGAGGGGTATAAATTCAGTTTTGTGACAGACATCTGCCCTTTGGGCTTTTGAGTGGCACAGCTTTAGGTAGTTAACGGAGGAACTATAGTGCCTTTGGAAGGAGAACACCGGCGGCTGTTCTGAGCGCTTGACAGGCGCCTAGCTGCAGGTCACATGAAGTATTCCTGTAGGTTCCACCTGGCTCTTTGTCCCATAGATGGGATGTTCCTGTAACAGTGAGAACTGCAGGTGTTTCTTAAAATTGACTGAAAGAGAAGGCAGCAAGCAAAGATGGGACTAGGTTTTACTAGTTGAAATTTGTGGTAAAATTAGTTACTACCATAAAGGTATTGATAACTAAAAATAGTGAGGAATGATAAACCCACTTGTTTTCAATAAATTGTGAAGTATTTTTAATATCTGTAAACATTAATATCTACAAGTTTGTTCATTTGGATTTTCTGTTTTGAAGGATGGAAAAATTGAAGCAGAAGACTTTACCAGTAGGCTGTACAGAGAACTTAATTCTTCACCTCAACCTTACCTTGTGCCTTTCCTGAAGGTAACTTGTGTTTGCCAGCCCTTCTGTGTTTCTGTGCTTGTGTCAGCAGCAATGAGCACAAGCACGTCGCTTGCCGGTGTAGAAGGAATTCCAGAATGGTGTAAATGGAAGTTTTAAATGGTGCCTGGTTAGACTGGTGCTCCCTTCAAAATTGTGTCTCCCTCTTGGTTCCAAGAGTTTGTTAGTCAGGTTCATGTCACAGTCAGTAATGTAAATTCTACCGTAGTGTCACATTGTAGCTCTTCTGAGAAATGTGAAAGGTTTCTTTCTATGACTGAAAAGCAGGTTTTTCCCATAGCACCAAAACCCATGAATTTATTTATTTGTCCTCTTTTTAGTCTTGAAAGAAAATAAGAGATTGATTGATACAGAAAACTGTACCTTCTGGATAAAAATCACACGCTTGCCTGTGCTGTAGCCCTGTTTGTATGGATAAACAGGAAATTTGTCACCTCAGTAATAAATCCCATTTGTCATAAATTCTGTAGTAATTGGACACATCTCGATAATTTTGATTCCAAAACATTTACCATCTGAAGGTCAGAAGTGCAACAGTCCTGTATGGTAAAAGTATAACTCTGCTTGACTAATGAATGATTAAGGGATATAGTTGTAGCGACGTTGACATTTCTGGGCTCTTAAATCCTTGTTCAGCCTGGAGCTGTTCACGAGGACAAAAAGTGCTACCATAAGAAAACAACTAGCGTAAGAATGCGGTAAAACACGGTGGTCTCTGAGCTATTCTGGAATCTTCAGAATTTCTGAAATCTTCAGAATCGGTGGCCAGGATGTCTTCTAAGCCATCAGTGTTACAGCTTGGTGTATACGTAGGAATGCAGTCGAGTAAGGCAGCAGGGGCTTGGGTTGTTAAAAACATACCAGGGGTTCCAGGTAGGCTTGCCTAACCTACATGCCCAAGGTGTCCAAGCTTCCCCAACTACAGGTACTGTCACTGTCTGGCTGTCAGTGTGACGTAGCGTGGTATTGCCACTGTCTCTCAGGTGTACACAGACTGATACGATGCACTGAAGCAAAACGCATTGCTTTTTACAATGAATGTTTTCTGGTGTGATCTAGGATTAAAATACTCAAGCAAATTCTTTCCTTTCCTCTTTTCAGAGGAGTTTACCTGCCTTGAGACAGCTAACACCAGACTCTGCAGCTTTCATTCAACAAAGTCAACAGCAGCAGCCAACAACGCAAGCAACGATAGCAACGATTCCATCCGCCGCGGTGCTCCTAAGCTCCTCAGTTCAGCGCACGGCAGGGAAGGCGACTGCAACTGTAACGAGTACTCTCCAACAACCTGTAATCAGCCTAACTCAGCCCACACAAGTTGGTGTTAACAAACAGGGGCAGTCTACGCCACTGGTACGTAACCTGAAGTGCATCATCTCTTATCGCACACGGGGTTTTTCCAATCATACAGCGACTTTTCTTATTGAATTGGTGGTTTGGCTTAATCAGAGATCTTTTCATCTCTTTAGAGAAAATAGCTACTAAGAAGAAATAAGTATAATTTAAATTCCATTCTTAATCAAAGTATTACATACTTCCCTATTTTAGCGTGAAATATTGGCAGATCATCTCAGTCTAGGAGAGAAGTGTTCTGGAGGATCTTTCATTTCCCATTTCCTAAACCTAAGAACACATTACCCTAAAAGAGGAGAAGGAATAACTTTCTCAGGCCTGCACATAAACCAAATAACAGTATAACGTACAGCACCTTCTTTTTTCCTCTTCTCATAGCAAAGCATTGTCTGAGTGCAAGCTTTTGCTAGGATGCATATTAATCAATATACATTATTAAATTACAAGTGGTTTTTTGCTACTTAGGACTTCAGTGTTTCCTGTAGAACTTTTGGCATTCATCGGAGATGCTCTGTCCAGAAATTTTCATACCAAATGAAGAGGAGAGATCTTTTTTTATCAATCCACAAATATTTTTCACTTATCTGGAGAGAAGATCTAGTGATTATATTGATCTTACTGCCCTTATAACCTAGGTATTATAGAGTGAAGTTAGGAGCCTAGGGGAAGAATGAAGGCTGAACGTTGACTAACTAGTGCTGGATTTACAAGGAAATATTTTGGCCTTTACCTTAAATACATAAAATAGTAGCAGAAGTAGTGAAAGAAAGACTTGCAGAGTTCTATGGAGCTTGCAAAATAGGCAGAGTTGGTCGATCTCTTTACAGTGGTTTGAAAGAAAGTTTCTGAAAGCTGGTTGAGGGCAGAAGACGAGTTTGCATCAACAGCTCCACTTGTAGCACTGCGATGTAACCCTACTTGTGCGAGTTCACGTTCAGAAGCAGCATGGCTGAGGTGCTTGAGACTCGGTCTAAGCTAACAGTCCAGTAGTACAAAGCTACACAGCTGGAGTTTATGCTGGTTCTGGATGAAAACAGCCTATGTGGAACCAGCTGGATGATCCTTATCATGCCTCTATTAATTTTTAGTTCTACAATTTGTTCCTGCAGGTCCAGTTTCTCTGTATCTCTAATGTAGAAACTACATGTAGAAAGCTTTAACTGGACCTTTGTGATTTTTTTTTTAATAGAAATAGGTTACTGATTTCTTTTTTGTATCACACAAAGTGGAATATTAATTTTCCTGTAAGATACAGTTTATGTTAAGAAGCTTAGTATGCTGATTCTAGATCAGTGATGTGTTAAAAGGATAACAACTTACAGATTGATGATTTGGGTTTGTTCTTCCCCCTGGATTCTTAGCCTTAGTTAGTTCTCAGATTGTTTACAGTTCTTTTTTTTTCATGTTATTTGCAGGTTATCCAACAGTCTCAAAAAGCAGGGGCATTGATAAGGCCTCCGCAGGTAACGTTGACACAGACACCAATGGTAGCGTTGCGGCAACCGCATAGTCGTATCATGCTCACTACTCCTCAGATTCAACTGAATCAGCTTCAGACAGGTAAGAGGTCAAGATACTTGGTACGTGCTGTAGTTGATAGCGTTTACAGAAGGCTGGTCTATGAATGTCAGTTCTGAAGTACCCTGAAGCTGTGTGGTGGCTGTTGTACTACTGCTAAAATCTTCAGTGCATAGTGCTATGTCAGGGCAGTGTTTACAGTCAGAGAAATTGTTTGGGTACTGGAATTGTGTGGGAGGGTCCCGGTTCAGATGACTGAAATGCTGACAAGAACTATTGACGGGAAGTCTTTGCAGCAGGCCTGTCGCCGTCACTGCCCATGGCTGGCTTGTGAATCGGATACAGATCTGATGGAGTACAAATGTTGTCTGTTTTCTTGCAGTACCTGTGGTAAAACCAGCAGTATTACCTGGAAACAAAGCTATTGCCACTGTTTCGACACAAGTAGCTGCTGCTCAGAAGAATAAACTGAAAGAACCCGGGGGAGGCTCTTTTAGGTGAGGAACCGCATGCTTATTTGTGCTCGTGCTGCATGGGCCGCGTGCCGAACTCGGTGGGCACCTTTCGGCGTGCTCCAGTGGGGCTGCATCAGGCTGGGTAAACTCGCAAGAGCTAGAGGTGGATTTCCTGTGGGCAGGTTTGGTACTTGTAAGACTTCAACAAAGAGCAGTGGACATACTTGTGCCAGGCTGGCTTTAGCATTTAGCTGGCACTAAGGAT